TCCATAACAATGAGTACTTTATCGAAAACAGTGACTTCCTTATCCGCAACAAATAAATTTTTCCACAACAAGGATTAATTTATCCAAAACAATGACTTCCTTATCCGTTACAATGAAAATTTATCCACAACAATGATTACTTTATCCAAAACAATGACTTCCTTATCCAAAACAGTGACTTCCTTATCCGTAACAATACAATTTTATCCACAACAATGATTACTTTATCCAAAACAGTGACTTCCTTATCCGTAACAATACAATTTTATCCACAACAATGATTGCTTTATCCAAAACAGTGACTTCCTTTTCCGTAACAATAAAATTTTATCCACAACAATGAGTACTTTATCCAAAACAGTGACTTCCGTATTCAAAACAGTGACTTTCTTATCCAAAACAGTGACTTCCTTGTCCGCAACAGTGACTTCTTTGTCCGCAACAAAGAAATTTTATCCACAACAATGGGTACTTTATCCAAAACAGTGACTTCCTTATCCGTAACAAAGAAAATTTTCCACAACAATGTTTACTTTATCCAAAACAGTGACTTCCTTATCCGTAACAATGAAATTTTCCACAACAATGAGTACTTTATCCAAAACAGTGACTTCCTTATCCGCAACAATGAAATTTTATCCACAACAATGTTTACTTTTCCAAAACAGTGACTTCCTTATCCGTAACAATGAGATTGTATCTACCACAATGAACAACAATGAATGCTTCATCCGCACAACAATGATTACTTTACCCATAACAAATAATTTTTTGCACAACAATAACTACTTTATCCAAAACAGTACCTACCTTAACTGCAACAATGGTATAGTATGCCTGTCACTTATGACAGATCAGTAAATTGGCTTAACTTCTAAATTGATTGGAACGAAGGGTGGAGAATATTTTCAAGTAATGAAACTACCCCAACACGATTGTATTTTAACATTTCCCTCTGTTCTCAATGTAATGGTCAAATATTGGGGGCGCCTGGCTCATCATGGTTACCCCTCCCAGCGGTTTTTCCAGTTTAATCAACCATGACAAAAGTTACTATTTACGGGTTAACACACAAATACAATATACTAGGGCCTACAGTAAGAGTAACTTAAGCACAGAAAAATCGTGGACTCAAAAGTACAACACCTCTTCAAAATGACAAAAGTTACTATTTACGGGTTAACACACAAATACAATATACTAGGGCCTACAGTAAGAGTAACTTAAACACAGAAAAAATCGTGGACTCAAAAGTACAACACCTCTTCAAAATGACAAAAGTTACTATTTACGGGTTAACACACAAATACAATATACTAGGGCCTACAGTAAGAGTAACTTAAACACAGAAAAATCGTGGACTCAAAAGTACAACACAGAAAAAAAAGTAAATAATAAACCACAATTCGTTAAATAAAATAAAAAAACAGTACTTAGCTTTATTGCTGCTTAGGTAGGGATCGGACCGGGGTTACACAGGTATGCGCCGAGATTGCCAGACAGGGATATAGCACGCAGAGAACACTTTAAGCCTCCCCACACGATATTCCACCACACTGGCGTGTCGACCCATACCATAGCCCCCTTTATATACAAACATGGCCACATTCGTCCAATGAGAAGGCGGGAGAGATTTGTTCACAAACAAACGAAAACAAAAATTCTTTCCACTAAAACCTGAGATAAGATATGATAAGATTGTAAATATTTGTCAATATAATTTGACAACCATACCGGCATAAGATTGTATGCATGCGTATATTATTGTATTGGACTACTCTGCTTATATAGCCGGTGAGAATGGCCGAAGAATCGGCCAGAGAAGTCAGTGGAAGGTTCATCAAGTCCATGGAAATGAGAGTCCCGTAGAATTAAGGTAAGAGGTCCATGGAATTGACAATTGACTCCTAAAAATGATTTGTTAGTATCTTGCCATTTACATAGGTGCTTTGTAAGTGCAAAGTTGAAATTTTTTTTTCACACGTGTAGACATGTGGTGCACTTACAGTAAAAGTAGTCGCCTTCTTCTACCCACCATGATTATCATGGCATGTACCACGTGTATTAGGAATAAGCAAAAATAAAAAACATAGGCACAATTAATAGGAATTGAGACGAGAGTTCCTCGAATTAACGCTAGAGGTCCGTGGAATTGACAATTGATACTTGGAATTATTTATTGGTATCTTGTCATTTACATAGGTGCACATTACGCACAATTTGTAATTGAGTCGAGAAATCCTCGAATTAACGCTAAGATCCCAGAAGTCCAGTAGAGATGGCAGACACGCGTCCAGCAATATCGACCTACCGTGGCCATCATCAGCGGAATGACCCGATTCCCTAATTGATCCCCGGGCTAAACTCGTTCTTTCCCTTCTCAATGGTAAACAGGAGCATGGCCCCAGGGGACGTCTTTCTTGATTCTGACAAGTGGGCGGAGAATTCTACCTTATCTTAATCACTAAACAGGATTCTGGGGCAACGTCATGACTATATTCTCATTGCAATAAAGACAGTAGAAAATTTGCTTTATTTGTAAAAGAAACATTCGCGTTTAATGGTTTTACATCTTCTATGATGTATTTGCCTTCCCCCAAAGATAAGCTAATACCATTTATCTTTTTAACGATGCCCATTTACACTTTGATGAGCAATAAATATAAATAAATGAGTGTGAATTTATTGTTTAATGCAGGAACCGTTGATTACGCCAAGTTTTCTTGATATGTTGCTTTTATTTTTTCAATTATCCCTAGTACACGTGGTAGAGGCCATGATAATAATGGTGGGTAGAAAGTGGCGATTGTCTTTACTGTAAGTACACCACATGTCTACACATCTGAAAAGCAGTTCGACTTTGCACTTACAAATGTGCCATAGTCCCGTTTGGTTACTTGAACTCGCTGGTGGGGTTGGACTTTTGCAAGAATCAGGGGCCATTGGAGCATTTTATTTTTCAATTAGAAAAAAAAAAGTGCCCAATGTTGGAATCGATCCCGGGTCGTAGCGGTCGAAAACCAGCGGTTTAGACCATCCTTCCACCGACCCCTTGGTATATTGTGGTTCCCTAGAATCAGGAAAAAATCCTCAATCAAAAGATTTCATAGGGAAATGTTCAAGACAAAAAAGAAATAAGGTTATCGCTCCTTGCAGTGATTCACTGCCATCTACCGAGCATTTCAGGAAACACACTTCCTTACACTCGCTTTATTTCCCTTATTATCACACAAAGGAAAATATTATTGTTTTAAGAACTTTTCTGATCTTTGTTTGGTTTACATCTTTGTTTGATCGTATATTTTCTGCCCCCTTACACCTTATATTCAGAGAAAGCTCCATTTATTTTACTCTTGGAATTGCTCTGAAGGACAGCTAGGTTCTAAAAAGTTTTTAAAGATAATTTTAAAATGTTATTTTATAAATATCAAGCCTGGACTTTTATATTCTTCACCCGTTCTTACTGTCTTTATTTAGTATTCAGATGTTATATATTTATAACAAAAAAGCTTTATTAAGACCTTTTACAGATAATACAGATTCTCCAAGCACAGAAATGTAGGGTACATACAGGAATAATTGTAATAGTACCGGTAATAAGCAATGTTATCATCTTGTTCCAAAGTCACTTTATTAGGTACCGCTCAACAAGAGCAACCTAGTTTATGATATTTACAACAATGAATAATATTTAAATAAAAAGGCATATATTGGATCAAAATATAATTTATTTTACCAATATTTCAGTTGGCTGAACGCCAACCTTTATCAAGGTGTTATAACATATTAATGTGTGTCAACAACAAACTCAGCGCCACATGTATAACATCAATAGAATTAAGTTTAAAAATATTTTTGCTTATATTGCTTATAACACTTTGATAAAGGTTGGCGTTCAGCCAACTGAAATATTGGTAAAATAAATGATATTTTGATCCAATATATGCCCTTTTATTTAAATATTCATTTATGGATTACTCTATTTTCAAAATTATTAATATGTGAAGGTTATTCACATATTAAACAAAATGGTGATTTTATAATACATAAATCTGTTTATAATACATATATTTTCTTTAATAAAATAAGTAAATATAAAATATAAATTTGAATTTAAGATATATGAAAAATAATATTACAAATTAAAATAAAATAGGTCCATTAGCCATGATGCAACAATATACATACAAGTAGGTTTTAAGTAATCTCTTGATCTCCCTTTTCACAAGTATCCGTCATGTATGAAACACGTGAAAGATTTATTTCCTTTTAAATTTTCTTCCTGAAAATAAAAATGTATATGACAAATCTCAAGTCAAATGGGCGCGATATATAAAGATTTTCGGGTCTCTATCTTTCGAGGTCATTTCCTCAGTTTCCTGAAAACTACTGCCCCTTTCTCACGGAGGTCATATTCCATAAACCCGGCAGGAAGTGAGGGGTGGGTATCCCTGAGGGGACAGGTTCGAGACCGCGTAGGTGCTTCCTTTCTTAACGTAACTCTTTATTGGGTAAACAACAACGAGACAACAAAACTAAATAACCAAATTTGACAATTATACCGCAAATGTTTCTTTTAAACGAAAAATCGAAATTTATTTTAAGGAGAAATAACGATTATTTCTAACCTTAGGGATGAAGTTTGATAGGATGAATTGTGAAGAGTAATTATAAACGGAAAAATAAAGTGTCCAGGGATTTTCGTTCAAAAGAAACATTTGCGGTATAATTTTCAAATTTCGTTCTACAATCATAAGCCACATTATATTGTATTTTAAACTAAATTAAATCCAAATAAAACACAATGTAACATCGACAGTCTTAGCTCGTTTATCTACAATGTCAAATTATATTGACAAACATTTGCACTTTTATCTCAGTTTTTAGTGGGAAGAATGTTGTTTTTGTTAGTGAACCAATCTCTTCCGTCTTCTCATTGGACGAATGTAGCCATGTTTGTATATAAAAGGGGCAATGGTATTGAGAGGAAGTTTTTAGGTGGCTCTCTCGTTGATCTAGGGGTATGATTCTCGCTTTGGGTGTGAGAGGTCCCGGGTTCAAATCCCGGACGAACCCTCTTTTTTTGCTCAAAAATCATCTATTTTTGTTAGCAGCCCCGTAAATAAAGATATTTCCATTCCTTTGAGAGGGAGTGTACACACTTTGGTTAGTGTCCCGTAAAACCCTATTTTCTCTCTGAGAGGGAGTGTTTCTGGTTAGCAGCCCCGTAAATAAAGATATTTCCGTGAGAGGGAGTGTGGTGGATATTTGTGTTGAGACGCTTAAAGTGTTTTCTGCGTGCTTTATCCGTGTCTGGTGATCTCCTCGCATACCTGTGTGATTTCAGTCCTTTCCCTACCAACGCTACAATAAAAGATAGGTACTGTTTTGTTTTTATATAGCAAATTGTGAGTTTTTATTTAACTTGCTTTTATTGTTGTTGTTATACTCTTGAATGTACGCTTTTCTGTGTGTGTTATATTACTCTTACTTTAGGCCCTAGTAACTTGCAATTTTGTGTGTTAACCCGTACAAAGTAACTTTGTAAACAAAACAAATAAATTGTTGTACTTTGATAAAGGTTGAAGTCCAGCCAACCCAAAAAATGTTCAATAAATTGTTTTATCGATCCAATATATGTTTTTTTTATAGCTGTTGGAAACTGAATGCTACGACTACAGCTAGCGCCACACTGGCCTTATCATCATCACAACAGTTTGTTTACTTCTTCTCTATACTGTTAATGTGTTCGCTACTATAACTCTCTTTTTTACTAAATGGATAATAAAGTTTATTATTATATAATCATCAACGTCCTCATGCCTTCATACAAGCTGTAAGTACCTAAATCTTACAACAATAGCTAAGAAGAGATAAAAAGATGACGGCAACGAGATTCTTTATTGTAAAGGTAAAAGCTAGGTGAGCTTTCGGACTATAACATCCTTCGACAGCTGTAATACGAATATGAATATTACACCCTGTTGAAAGAAGTTATTGTCTGAAAGCTCACCAAGCTTATAACGCTTTTATATATAAAGCCGTTAGCTTTTTACCTATTCTTTGCAATGATATCCGGTGATTCTTCTATTGTAAAATATGTGAATTCTATTATATTGATATATTTGCAGGGAAGGTGTACTTATTTCAACTTCTGTCTTTCAAGAAAAAAAAAAAGCTTCCCCATGTGCACTAGGTGCAAAACCGAAGAGGCCACTCCCCAACATTTACTAAATTGCATTGGAAAGGACAAAAGATCCCTGTACAGAGAACCAAGAAGAGTTCTTGAGCTTCTTTACGAGCACGACCTCCAAGATCTTGTCTAATTTAGACTAAAAGGATAAGTAAAAAAATAATAATAATATGGAAAATCTCTAAATCTATTCGTGAATAAATACTACTAACACACGCGCGCGCGCATACACAATGCGCTACACTACACAAATTTTAGTATCTATATAAAAAATAAAGAAATTGCCAATTAAAGCCTAGGGTACAACTAATATAGAACAATCTATTTTAAACTTTAGTCCATTACATTTGAAAAAGGGAAACTAAATAACACAGGATGGTTCGGTTTGGAATCTCTATGAAAGAACAGAGGAGGAAACAGAAAGTTCACCATGTCAATACGGCGGTACAATACTAAGATTGTAAATAACCGAACAAAAGTAGCAGGAAGTGGGTGGGATTAACACCCATCTCTCCTTCTAGACAATTTCTTCCTCGGCGTGGAACTGGGGAGTGTTCAAGAAGACCTTGTCTGGAGGAGATTGAGATTGAAACTCCTTTATCACATCGCTCATATAAGGTTATATAAGGTTAATAACATAAATATGAGTAAATAAGATCATGTCTGGAGGGGGACTCTCTCAAGGTGGGGAAACCTTCCTTGCTGAAGAAATTTGTACACATACACAACTATATATATTCCCCTACATTTTATCTACCCTTTATTTACTATTTTATTATATATTTTTTCACCTTTGTAACAATTGATTAGAAGAATCAATAAAATTGTTTAAATTGTCTTCTTCTTCTAGAGGACACGACAATGGGGGCTGGTGCAGATACTGCTCTTTAGAGGCCGTTTTCTTTGGTGGTACATCTTTGTACCCAGGCACTGTAAGATATTAAACCAGAAGTTGTTCCCTTGAATGGGGTGTCGCAAGAAATCGCGAAATTATCTCAGCAATGTCGCTGAGTTGATGGACTGTAGATGAATATTTTTACAGCCTTCCTGACTTTCATTTCCTGGAAGGAATGCTGATATTGGAGAAACGCACACAAGGATGTTGTGACAATATGTCACTTTTACGGGTTATCACACAATGTGCAAAATACTAGGGTCTAAAGTAATAGTAACTAACACACAGAAAAGCGTACACTCAAGAGTACAGCAACAAAAATAACTCCACCTTTGCCGGTCCCAAGCCCGGATGAAAAAGGAGGAGGGGGAGCAGTAACAAGCTCACTAAAAAACCTGGGCTCATCTGGCCCGGCTGATAGTACCCTGTAAGGGCTCCTAATCCAGGGATACAGGATGAGCAGCTTGATACCCTGTATGATTGAGTGGAGATAAGAAAGAAAAGGAAGACAACAACAATAAAAAGGGAGCAAAATAAAAACTCAGGATTGGCTATATAAAAACAAAATAGTACTTATCCTTTATTGTAGCGTTGGTAGGGATCGGACCGGGGTCACACATGTATGCGAGATCACCAGACACGGATAAAACACGCAGAGAACACTTTAAGCGTCTCCACACGGTAATCCACTCTTTTGAGCCCTCGCAATACCATAGCTCCCTCTTATATACAAATATGGCCACATTCGTCCAATAAGAAAGTGGGAGAGATTGGTTCACTAACAAACGAAAACAAAATTCTTCCCACTAAAAACTGAGATAATATAATAATGTAAATGTGTTTGTCAATATAATTTGACAGTTAAAGTCAAGGAAGATTATGTAGAAATAGTTCATTTTTAACCCTTAACTGGACGGGTGAATTTTTATTACGTAAATGGACGGGTTGGGTAAATTCAACCCACTTATGTAACTTTATGAAATAAGCGCTAAATAATGATTGAAATCAATATTCAAAAAATATTTAATTAATATAGAGTTAATATATAGAATTTGACTTTTAAAGATTTACAGTTCTCACAAACTTTTAAGAAATGTTTTTGCAAACGCTTAGTTGATATACAGAGCAAAGGGTTTTTATTTTTTACTGAAAAACTGAAAATCAGAGTTTTTCATTGTCAGGCCGAAAACTAATCATCTTCAACTCGTATACTAACTAAATTATTTGAAGTTGCAACATGAAGCTAAAACCACAACTAAACCATCAGAATATATTATTGATCACCTCTTTCGAGCGGCGATATGGGCAGGTCTGACCCCCGAAGTTAGGTGCAGTCGACGGGTGACCACCGTCGGGGAGTGTCCGGTCCACTCCCACGCTGGGACCGCCCCTCCGGTGCCAAGAGCCAATTTCGCCACTTCCCACCTAATTGGATTGTTTCTCGTTCTGCAAACACCTGCTGTTGTCTTCATCTCTGTTGACCCACTTCTTCCAATGTCAGGGTCTCCAGAGTGCACAAGTTGTTGAACCGTTCGAACTCTCGACACTGGGAAGGGTTGGTGTGGTCCTTCGATACCTTTGTTTTCTGATAGTTCGCCAAGTGTGGGAGACACGCTGTATGGGACAAACATTGAACTATCCGTATAACCCTTCACACCTACTCTATAGCAGTTTTAAAACATTGAAGGAAAAAAACTTCGATCGAATGGAGATACCATAACAACAATCATTTACCTTATTGATATCTTTGTTACATACAGTTAATCTGGTTGAAATAAAATGTCCTGAGAATGTTGGATCAATTAGGAAGCTATAAAAGTTTGTTAATGATAGGTACCCAAGCTTCTTACTGAAAGACTATACGTTTAGCGAAATTCCAAAATTCGCTCGACTCTATCATAGAAAAATTCCTCAATACATTTAAAAGGATTTATAGCTAAATAAATGGAATTCTTATGATTTTGTTTTATTTAATCTTATCATGTGTGTGCTACTCTTGATCAACGGGGTCCAGAGTTCAACCATCAGTTTCTGAAGTTAAATTATTCTACATGTGTCAATAATACCCAATAATGTTGATTAAAAAAAAGTTCTCTTTAATTCAAGCTAGTGAATAGAAGAACGTAGCTTACATGAAGGCTCACACGAGGACAATAGATTCAATAATAAAGATCGAATTGAATTTAAAGATCAAACTGAAAGAAATATTGGATTTTATTGAATGAAAGATATAGGGAAGGTGGACATGTCACGTCCATCATCCAGAAGATGATGCAGCTTGAGGATTCCTGCTGGGTTTATGCTCGTCGGGAGGCTTTTATAACTCTGTGAGACAGAGTAAAGCTTTCCCAAATCTCTGCCCGGCTGGATGTCAAGGGTGTGGTTACATACGTCTATGTGACCTACGGCACCAAGTGCTCACTCCGTTATAAACAAGGGCACAAACGTGAAAATTGTCCTCGCAAGACAGGCCTGCAGGAGAACAACAGGGAAGGTATAGAGAGTGTCTAACTTGCTCTATCAGTCATGTAAGTTTCACTAGGGGATCTTATCTCAAACGTCGTGATCGCTCCCAGACAATGGTCAGCCGGTTGTAACCCCGGACAATGTATCAAAGTCTATCCACACGGCACAAAGACATCCAACGTAACAACTGTCGAGCAAATCCCTTGTGACCTGCTCACCTGACCCGACCTCTCGTCAGATTGAGATATGGGGAACTTTCTGATGAACTCGTTGATACTTACTGGCTGAGATGTCCTACTGCAAGAGGAACTCAATGTCGTTGAGGGGAAAGTAATCCTGAGAGATCGAGGTCGTCTCTCGTGTAAAACTATGCGACCGCTCAGATGGGAGTTTTTTTTTTTTTTTTTATTATTATCCCTAGTACACGTGGTACAGGCCATGATAATCATGGTGGGTAGTTAGCGACTGCTTTTACTGTAAGCGCACCACATGTCTACACATGTGAAAATCAGTTCGACTTTG